AAAAAAAAAGGCATGAGAGAAAAATTGCTTTGCAAACCTTAAGACTTAATATTAAAAAATATTTTGCATATGAAAGCATTGTAATGTTTATTGGTAATCTGCCCAGTTTTGTTAACATTCGCTTACTAATTTAAAAGTTACAGCATGAAAACTATAACAAGAACAAAATGGTTAACAAATATGCACGTGGAGGATATAAAACAAAATATTTTTTTAGGTTTTATATATACATTTGAATAACTAAAAAATCATAAATTACTACATTAATACCATACATTCCACTATAATTTATCAAGTTTAGTAACTAAGATGTATTTTAATCTAAAAAAATATGAAATTTCAAGCAGACTAAATACACACCCTACCTCTTTGAAATATTGGTTCAAAAGAAAGAAATGGCACCAAGCCTGTTGAAATAGCTGAGAAAGCCACTAGGGGGACATTCTGAGCTTCTGATTGGTTATTCACGTCATATACAGAAGTAAGTGTATATAATGGAGTGTTTCCAAAAATGAAAAGAGAGGGGTGCCACTGTGTTTGGTTTATTAAATGAGCAATATTTTAGCAAATTGAAAAGATAAGAGACTCTTATTTTATATTCTAGCTTGTCAATATCGGTAATTTGAGTTTCTAATTTGTATGAAACTATAGACTTAGTATTTTGATTTCACAAACATCTAATTTCAACCAGTGCTGCATTCAACTTACCACATGACACAAAAATTCGATGTTTATATGTATTTAATATTTGCTTTTAAATTTAGAAATTGAGTAATATATATAATACTAAAATTTGAATTATAATCTACAGTTAGATACCTAAGTTATTGACATCAATTCATGAAATAGTAGTTCAATAAAATTTTGAATGCGAGTCAACAAACAAGATGACATGGCTTTTCTCCTGTGACCTGTCTCGAAAGGGTTAATAAAAGCTAGATCAGAAGGATGCAGGCTTGTCATTTAGGGTTTGTGTTTATGGTTTAGTGGTTTTTAATAACTTCACGTTTTTCAACTAATCAGTTTCAGATGTGATTAAATTAAGGTCCAAATTTTAGGAATTGATCCAGAGAGGCTGTAAGTACAATTAAGAGATTATTTAATATGTTAGGACTTAAACTGCAGTTTGTATATGCTTCGACAATGAATTGTATGTTGCCATTGTTTTTTTTTTAAGTAACTCAAAAAACAATGAATTTGTTTTGATTTTAAACACACAAACAGATAAAATTATGTGGGAAATCTTAAGTAGACTTATGTATACCCTTATACAAAACTTTGACATAATTATTTTTTAGATTTTTATTGAATATGCTAACACAATAATGAAACTTGTATATATTTCTTCAAAAAGAAAAGCAAACCAAAAAATTAGTATTTTAGAAATATATCTTGCTCATGCGATAATGACAACATTTAATTTTTTTTGTTAGTATAGATAATAGTAGTTGATAATATAAATTCTGTTGTTGGGCCTAAAGTTAATACAAAAGTAGTTGTTTGTATTTCTTGTTAATAAGTATATGTTGATCCACTTGGTGTTTTATTTCTGTACAATTACTATGAGTTACATATAGTAGTTCACTTTGAAATGTAAAATAATTTCAAATAATTATAAACTTATGTGCATATCTTGAAGTTTTATACAACAATAATTAGTTTTTCTTTCAGCTTTGAAAGAAAAATTATTTTATTTTGTTTCATTAAAAAATGTTAATTAAGAGGAAATGTGTTTGTAGGATCTTCCAAATGCCATGAATGCAGCAGAAATCACAGACAAACTAGGCCTTCATTCGCTGAGAAACCGTAACTGGTACATCCAAGCCACCTGTGCTACCAGTGGAGATGGGTTGTATGAGGGACTTGACTGGCTATCTAATCAACTTAAAAACCCAAAATAAAAATTCTTTAAACCATAATATTTTCTCTTCAACACCAGCAGGGGTAAAACTGAACATCAAGTCAGACCCCTTGAAAATATTGTATAAAAATATCAGAATTGCCTAGACACACAAAACACCTTTCAGTTTATATTTGAACCTCACTTGCCTACAATGTATCGAGCCAGGAAGGTATGACATTTCTTGCAGTCCTGACATTGTTAATGTTACATACAATTCTTCATTATTCCAGATTTGTAATTGTTTTAATACTTTGTTATAATTAACTGGCCCGATACATTCCAAGGAAAAGCACTAGATATTTGCATGAGGAGACAAGTTATACAACAGTTAGTAAAACTATTTGGTCTTAAAGTATTGATTAACCGCAAAATTACGTTATTTGTTTGAAAATTTAAATTCATGTTGTATATAGCTGAGAAGAAATTTGACTCTCTCTCTCTCTATCTGGTACTACAAATGCATATAAATCAACTGCTGTTTTTTGTTTTTTATGGCTTTTGGTGTCAAAGCACATATTGCAAGTTTTCACTGTTGTATTTGGTGTGATTGAAGGAAGTGTAGTGAGGGAGCTGGCACTCACTCAGTGATAGTGCAGTCTAGGCTAGTTCGCATTATTAACTGTTTTTGTCTGTATGTTGGAAATGATTAAACACTTGCCAATATAAATGTCTATGACTAGTTTCTAAATGTAAATTCTCAAAGAATTTTAAAGAAAAAATTGGAATTAATATTTCATAAGATCTGGGTAATTGTTATAGTATTTAAAATTGTATAATTCATAAAAAAAAATCCAGAAGTTCATACTATCTATTGATTTTTGTAGTTCGTGTACAGATGGAATCTTTGGGAACATGAGTTTTTTTATATTTAATTATTTGTAATATTTCATTAAAATATTTTGAAAAAGGAAAACTAAAATTGTTGATGAGTATAATAATTACATTGTTTTATTTTTGTTCCTTCTGTGTAAACCCCAAAAAATTTGCTTTAAAACTTTTAAGACAAATTATTTCTAAGTTAAATCTTTTTTATTTCATCTGTTGAGTACCAAAGGCATAATGTAGTAGAACAGGTATGTGAAAGTCATTGAACAATGAAAATAGTTGTATACATTGTATAACAATTGTCTTAATTATTGAAATATTTAAACCAAAGTTATTAAAAAACAAAGACACTGTGAAGTTGACTGTCTTGTATATGTCATCATATGAAATTTAAGCACAACGACATGAAATAACTTGTAACCATGTATCTTTTATAATGATGTAAATTAGCTATAGCTAGGTCCTATGAACTTGGACTTGGAAGTACACATGATCATCAATGTGTCATACAAATAAAGTATTTAATTTCTTCCCTAAAAATATGCATGTTACGGATGAAAATAAGTAATCTTTATATGAAGTGGTTATCTTTAAAACTGATATATATAATAATAAATTGGTATTAAACACTTATTTCTATATAAAGAAATTGAGCAACAAAAAGAAAACTTTAAACCTGCTTACTTCTGTACCTACACCCCTTGTTGTCTCATTGTAAGTCTGAGGGCTTACAATAAATAAAATCAGGTTTCTATACTAATGGTAGACACTGCTAAAATAGTCCGTTGTGTAGCTATGTAACCTTTGGTAAACCTAAAGCCAGATCAGGCTGATTACATGTGCCATCATTACATTCATATGCAAGTAACGTTAGTTCCAAGTTCTTGACATGGGTGAGATGGTTAAATGTACAAACAAATATTTGCTAAATTAGTAAAAGAAACATTCTTATATACAATCAACATTAATTTTTGGAGGCTTAAAAATTATTATTTTGGGGATATTGTAGCTTTGTGCAGGTTCATCTACAAACATAAACATACATAGTGCATAATTAGAATATCTTAAATACTAATTGTATAACAAATTTGTAACAGTATTGCATGCAAAATCGTTGTACTTTCTTAAAACAACATGTTATGTTAAGGTGTTTTAACAAAGGATAATTGTAACTTGCTGAAAATATACATCTTTGATACATGTAAAGTTGTCTTACCTAACTTTTAAATACAAAATCATGCAAATATTTTAGATGTATTCCATTTAGAAATGTCCTTCAGAAGCTCAGCAGCAAGTCTTACGGCTTATAATGCTAAAGTAGATATTTAAGTACCTGCAGTAGGCACAGCACAGGTAGCCTATTGTGTAGCTTTGTACTTAATAACGAGTCATCTACTATTTATATACCATATCACATACTGTCAAGATATTTATATGAAACTAGTTACTTTTGACTTTTGTATCCATTTATTGCCATGTAATATCCTCATATTTAATTTAGTTTGTGCATTTTAAATTATATTATAGTTTTGTGTTACAAAAGTTTCAAGTTATTTCTGTAGATACTAAAACAAGTATTTTTAAGTAAAATTCATTGTATCCTTTTACAGTCGCTTTTATGTATAAATAAATGTAGTAATTCTTGCAAAACCTAACATTTTATTGATACCAAATTTTACAAACTACAATATATACTAGCTATCATTTCTACAACAATGTGCAAATCTGCAAATGTAATGTCTTTTTTGAAATATCTTTAATTATTCTGATGCAAACTATTTCACAAGATGTTTTAAAAACATTTAAAAAATCAACTCATAAATGTTTAGTTCACACAATAGATCAGTGACAAATTTATGAACTTACTAAAACACTAAAATCAAAGGTTCAGTTACCCACGTTAGACAGGATGCATATAGTCCATTATGTAGCTTTATGCTGACAATACAAGAACAATCACACATTGAATAGGTAACATAAGTGCTTGCATTACTGAACAACTTAAATACTGTATGTGTACCTAATATTTAGATTACACGTTTACTATATCCAGTATGTTTTAGTTGAAGTTTTGAAAGTAATAATGTAAGTAATTAACAGCAGTAATATGCTTTGTTGTTATTGTATCACTAAGGTAGGATTTATTCTGTAGATCAGATATTTTGTTTCTTAGCATAAAGTTTTATCCATTTATTTTCTTTGTCCTGTTGATAACTCTTACTAATATGAAATTCTTTCTCATTTACTACTTTAGTATGTAGCCCTGATTTTTTCTCAATTTACCATTCTTAGATGATATACTTTGCTGACTGTTGCTAACTTCTTAACTGACTACAATCTGCTATTGTACTAATTTATTCTCCTTTTGATTCAATCTGTCAATGAAATTGGTGTCTCCTCCCCCCCCCCCCCTTTATACCACAATGATGAACTTAGGTGGGGAGGGTAAGCTAGTGTTTAGCATACCATATTGTGAATCTGAGTCTGTAATTTATTGTCACAAAATTGTGCATTGTAAGAAGGATGGTCAGATTCCCAATTAGAGTAGTCCAATAGTTGACAGTGAGTGGGTGACATTGGCTAGCATAGATAGCCATTGAATAGCTTTGCATGAATATCCAAAACAAATAAAATCTGTATTGATGTCACATATGATCCAACACTAGACTTTCAAAGCCAAGATTTTCACAATGTTAGAAATCAAAGTTTTTTAGTTTCTCTGTGCTTTTAGACATCATGAATGGTAGTGAACTAATTAATATCTGTATTGATTTTACATTCAAGTACTATACCGAAATCTTCTGTTAAATTCATTCTGGTGGAAGACTATCCAAAAATGGTCACTTCAAAGAACTAGCTAAGGGTTTTTTACTGTACTATTAGTATTTTTTTATTATTTCTAAATATTAAAATGTCTTATCTGATGATGACAACTTCGTTTAGCTGTGATTATGTATTTTTCCATTACGATGTGGTGCTACACTTGGATCTTCATAGTTTCAATCATTCTTCTCATAATAATTAATGTTTTTCTCTCCCAATGCATTTAGTATCAATACAGTAGCATTTTATGCAGATGTTACCTCATTACATTGCGATTCCATTTGAATTGTAAATCTCAACTAATCATAATTAAGTTACTTGCATTTTCCATCAGGCAATCCCTTTAATTTGCATTTTTCTGCTGAAATGCAGAAGTTACTTTGTGTTCTTCGACAACAGAAAATTTTGTAAACAAGTTCCGTGCTTTACTCCTTTACCTGTGTAGAAGTTTTCAGTTGTACTATAAAAAGTGTCCCAGAAGTCTGGACCCATAGGAAAAACAGACATTATATTCTTAAAGTTAAACACATTTCTTAAATCAGTTGTACGTATTTCAGAAAAGAAAATACCCTGATGGCACAGTATACCAAGCATTGATATGTGTATTTCTGTTAATGGCATGCAATTTGAATAATAAATAAATTAAGAACACGTGTATTTCCCTATATGTCCAGACTTCTGGGACACCCTGTGTGTGTGTGTGTGTTAACTTAATCTTTTAATAATATCTACACCTCTTAACAAATTACTTGAAACTGCTTGTAAGCTTTTGACCCCACACAAGTAACATTAAAACTTGAAAAAGTTATGATGGTAGGGTCCTGAAAATAGAGGATCAATGAGTCTTTGGAGCTTTGTGATTTTACTAACCCAATGCACTTAAAAATTGGTATTATTATGTGAGAAACCATTTTAAACTAATTTTAGTCCCGATATTGGGGTTCTAGGGACAGCAACCATAAATTTACTTGAACATTGGCATGGTCGTATAAAGGATTATTCAAATAACTATACGAGTTTAGGTTGTTGAAATATTTCTGTTGGAGCTTCCTAACCGAAGATCAAGACAAGTGGATAGCACTAGTCTCTATCAAGAATACCTAGGATCAAATTCTGGCCATTCTCGGGACTTGCATGAAGCTTGTAGCAAAAATGTATGATAAAAAGTTAGTAATTATTATCTAATAATTAATAAAGAAATTATTTACTAATTAATAATCAGATTTGGTGACTGTATAGTCTGCTAACCATGACAATGTCATAATGTGCATTTTTTCAACCAATTTTCAGTGGTTAAACATTTTCATATGAATAATTACTGCTGAATTGCTATGTAATATAATTTAATTGGAAAGGTGTACAAAAAGTACAGATATGCTTAACCTATATTGTGGTACTGTTATATTAAGAAAAGGTTTTATTTATTTAATTTTTTGTTTTGCATAATTGTGTTTAAAAGAATGGACATAAAAAGGTTATTTTGGTAAGTGATCTGCACCTTCAGAAATCATGAGAGCATGACCGATTTAACGCACTTCTGATCAGCAGCTGAATAAAAGATTTGTGACAGTGGTATTCCCCCCAAAAAAGTAAATTGGGTAGGTCCAGTATATAATGGAGGGTTCAAATTTGAGATAACACTTGACCTATCATTAATGGACGCTGCTCTTCACAGCTATACCCCCCATGGGTAGACCAAATATTTTCTCCAAACAATTACTGAAAACAATAGCAGCTAGAAGGATATCAACCTAACAACTTTATTGACCATGTGTTACGTGAAAACCACAGCTAATTAGAATAAATTGAACATTTTCAAATATTCTACATGAAATAAGAAGGTAAAAACGCGTTGCATGCCTGCATGTCATACTTCTTCTCCCTCCCCTATTTTAAGCTTGTACTGAAGCCAACATTAATCTTAATTGTAACACCAATTAAGTTTGCAAATGTGTATGACAATGAAGTAATGTAACCTTTTCTTGTTCCTTTAAACGCACATACATGTAACACAGAATACACAACTCTTTTATAAAGAAATACAGTGCATGAAGAAAATCCCATTAACAAAGCTATTGAATAATACATCGTAAAACAAAAAGCCTTTAATGAGGACATAATTGTACAATAATTACATAAAAGCTAACATTGACATAAATACAAAAAAGGAAACCCATTTAGAGAGAAATAATAGTTCCAGTGCAACAAATTCATGAAGCAAAAGTAAACCCTTCCAATGGCCCAATCTGTCAGAGTACAAAATAGGGACTTAACCAACCATATTCTACTGCCTTCATGAATGGCATATACCAAACCCAATTTCCATACACTGGTACATCCATTCTTATACCAACTTGTGTAGAACTTCAGATATTTGGTGGTCTTTCCTAGCAGGTGGCATGAAAACTCATGTGCAGCAACTAGTATAGATATGCACTACCGGCACTTGTGTTTAAAATTTTTAAATTATAATAAATAATTAAAAACAACGTTTTATAGTTACACAATAAAAACTTTATTGAAGCCGTACGGCTTCCACTTTAAAATATCTCTCTACAAGTACATGTTTCGACGTAAATAACTAGTATAGACCTTAACCTCTTCATATTCGATGACGAGGAACCAACTTTGAGACTAATAATGGCAGGAGACGGCTTGAATGGGTAATGAAGAAAAACTTTAATACAACTTTAACATAACAGCAAATGTACAACGTTTCGACAAGGTTTTGTCATCACCTGATGACGCGAAACGTTGTACATTTGCTGTTATGTTAAAGTTCTATTAAAGTTTTTCTTCATTACCCACTCAAGCCGTCTCCA